ACTCAAACGCACATTATTTTATTGATAAAAATAGGTACGATACGTCTTAAAAATTATATGCCCTCTAATATTTTACGGAAAAATTATTGCTTGGGTAAAAATTCAAACTTCTAAACCTACAAAATTTTATAAAATCTTTTAAAAATCATTTAGTTTTAATCATTTTTTAATAACTAAAACTTTTCTTATTATATTTTAGAAAGATATTCATGAAAAAATATTATATAAATGTTTAGATAAGTAATGGATGCCATCTTAAAAAACTCATTATGGCGGCCTAAAAAAAAATTCCCGCAAAGTTTTATTTTTCACTTTAAGCTTATTTTTCCTTGTTTAGTCAATATTATTAGTATTTATTACCCACTAATAACCCTAAAAAATACCAGGCGAATAGGAATTATTTACGGTTATAAAGTGGTCTTAATATCGTAAAATTATGACTTATGAGTAAAATTTACCATTAAGTAAAAATTTTGACGTTAAAATTACCGTTAAATTTTCCTTTAGGTGAAATACACTAATAAGTAATTTTCTTTCGTAAAAATTACGTCCCTCATAATATAATAATAAGTGTTGAAACTAAGGGTTATTAAAATATGTAAAAATAACATAAATAAAACTTATATTATAACTTTAAAAAAAGTTTTACTTCAAAGTAAATTTTTAAGGTTAATTTAACAAAATATTTACTTAAATTAAGTAATATTGCCACTTAGGGATCCCTAAGTGACCTAAACCTGATATTTTGTTATGTTTAACTTTTAACAACTTTTTTTGCTAGATACTGAAACCTAAATTACATTTTAAGAGTTTTGGAATACTTTGTACTTTGTACTCAAGTACATTTTTTTCAAAGTACTTGTACTTTTACTCGAGTACTTTTTTCTTGTACTCGGAACAGCTCTGCATGGTATTCCATAAAGTGTTTCCAAGTTTTGGGAATGGATTTATCTTACCAAGGCTTAAAAATTATCGTATTTTTAAATATATTTTTATAATTAATTTATGAATTATACTTAGCACGTGCTAAAATAAAAATCAGATGCAAGTTACTTTTTTAAATTTTATTAAAAACATGTTTTAAATATTGTATATTTTATTTAAGAAAATAAATATTTATTTTAATTAATTTTAGCATTTTTAGTCCCTTAAGTAAAATCATTAATGAAATCCCTTTCATTTCATAATGAATTCATCGTGTGACTAATTAAGGATCTCACGTTGCTCATCAAAAGCAACACTTATGCGTGCCACAGTGACATCACTGAATGAATCAGCAATGATTTCACGTTGATGTCACAACGAATTCATCGTATGACTCATTAAGGATATCATGTTGCTCATCAAAAGGGGAACACATATGCGTACCTCAGTGACATCACTGAACGAATCAGCAATGATTTCACGTTGATGTCTTAAATGATGTCATAATTGTTATCTGGGTATTTACTTTTTTACACATAAGTATGCCAACCCACACATTGTCTATGCTTGAAAATGAAAAGAAAAATGCATATACCAATGTTTACGTAAGCATGGGAGAGAGGGGGGTAAGAGCTTTGATTACTTTTGCTGACAAGGGGGGGGGTAAATAATTGTAGTAAATCTTCTTACGTAATACTTGCAAGTTCATGAATGGCCCTATTTTAAAATTACTCTGCCAATGTATAGGCACCACAGCTCAAACGATTGAACAAATTAAAGAATCCATTAAAACTCTTTAAATATGACATTTAGAAAATACGTCAAAACTTTCAAAATGACAGATCACATATTCAAAAACTTTTTTACAATCTAGGCCTAACCTTTCAACCTTGCTTTAAACTAATAGCTTTACTTTGAATCAAATTGTAAAACCACACAAAAAATCTTGCGTTTTCTCCGAGGTTTTCTCCTGGATAGGCAAAATTCGGCAAAAGTTTTCTTTCGATAATAAAGCTTGAGTACTGGAGAGTTTAAGAGCATCAACAAAAACGTGTAGTTCAGTGTAGATCTTGATTTATGACATGCATTCACTAAATCATTATTTTTTTTTTGGAAAGAAATCTATAAAATTTATATGGTATAAAACCTTACCTGCATCTGGCCCACTCATAGTGTATGTCAAAAAGTTAACCCCCCGCCCCCCTGTCACACTTGGTAACATGCTCATCAACCCCCCCGCAAATATTATGTCACAACATACAATACCACCGCCCCTTTTTTTTCAAATACTACTTACCTCGCGTCAATAAATATACTTTGAAAAACATTTTTTTTTTTGAATTTATATCTTTGAAGTGTGATGTCACACTTAAAGAAATCCCTGGGCCCCCATGTCACAGTTATAACTGTAACGTTTTGTCCAGACCCCCCTCCCCTAGTGCGTGACGTAGTATGTGGACGACCCCTTAACTGTAATGTCTTAAACTTAGCGATTTGTTTAAACAAAATAAACCATACGATAACCACTAAAATCAGTGGTTATCTGCTAAACCGGCCAATCAGGTCGATTAAATATAACGATAACCACCAATTCTAGTGGTCAACATAAAAACTCACAGACATACCTATTTCTGGTAATTTTGTAAGCTCAATGGCCTATAGTATACTTGACCGTTTTTCTATGGTTTTTAGCATAAGAAAACTTGGTGGTCCATCATTACTAAAAATTGACTTTTTCAATGTTTAGGGGATTTCTGGCCCAAAGTGCGGCCGCGGCCGCGGAGATACGGTCCCATAACGGACACCCCTTTGTTTTTAAATAACTTTTGAACTACTAAGTGGAATTTAATAATTTTTTAACATATTGTTTACTAGGAAAGTTTCCTTAAAATGGGCACTTTTAATCTCATTCGGCTTACCTATTTAGTTTGTCAGGGACGGACTAGCTCTAACAGAGTAATGCCTTTTTTTAACACCCTGTACTTTAAAGGCACAACAATAATATTTTTACTCTTGATCGACATCGATAAAATGTAGTGTTTATGAAAAAAAAATGTTTCTGCTCCTTTTGTATATTATTGACATTATTTGGGTTTTTTTCTTAAATAATGGTAACCAATATACAGGGATGGTAATGTGCTCTTAGGCCGTTTAATAAATAAAGACAAATGCAGTGGGGCAAGCCAGACCGCGCCGCGCGGCTACGATCATCGCCCGACCGCAGACAAGAGAATGTGTTGTAAGTAAGCGGTAGTACGTTTGTTATAAATTAGGAAATATTCTCTAATAAAAATGGTTTACACCCTTGAAGAAAAGATTCAATTTATAACGTGGCATTTAAATGGGATCTCAGATCGAGAAAGTCAAAGATTATTTCCAAATATGTTCCCAAATAGACCCTTACCAGCAAGGGCAATAATTCAAAATGTTGTAAATAATTTTTTAACATTCGGCAGTGTTAATAGGGTTCATAATAGGGAACCGCAAGCAAGGCCAGTAAATGAAGAACGCGAATTACGGGACACTTTAATTTGTGCAAGCATCGAACAAGATCCAACCCAGTCAACCAGACAAGTTGCCGAACAGTTCGATCTATCACGGTCTATGGTAGGCAAAATTTTAAGAAAGCATATTTTAGAACACCATTTTTGTTTGAACATTTACTTTATTTATTTTTTAATTTAAATATTTTAGAATACCATTTTTGTTTAAACATTTACTTTAATTTATTTATTTAAACATTTTAGAATACCATTTTTGTTTAAGAATAATTGTTTTTTTATTACAAGAATACTATGGTTTATTTTCCACATTTTCGAAAAAAATTCAATAAGTATTCGTTTTTGTAAACAAAATCATAGTTTAATTTTAAAGAAAATTTAAAATTTCTCCGTCCGCACTCCAACGTGGACCGATAATACTGAAGTTATTTCGAGACTCGATTGCGAAATTTGCGTCAAGGTTATCTAGTAGTGGGATTGGAAAGCAGTTAGAGTAGGGGAAGTAAAACATTGGCGGACGTTTAATTGTTGGCAGAGGGGAAATAAGTATTTTGTTCTCCTATTCGTTCAACAATGTTTGTTTGTCTCTCTTATTTATAGGTTTATCTCACCTATTCGTATGTTTTATATAGCATGCATCTTTGTTTATTAAACGGCCTAAAAGCCCATTGCATCCGTGCAAAACCGGCTAAATCCATTTTATTCAGTTTTTGTTTGTTTTTTTGATTTCGCATCTTTGGGTTAACTTCTATCGACAACCAAGATAATTCGGTTTAAACCCGAATATATCCATGTTAAAATCAAATTTAAAACTCAAGTTTGCTTTTTTGTTTTACCGGCGTCGCACATAAGCGAAAATGCAAATTTTTGCGGTCGAAACTAAAAATATCCAAATCAATAATTTTCTTCCAAAATTTATTGCAGCTAGTAGGTAAGGCATCTAGATATGTCAAATGAATATTATAATGCGTCAAATCCAAATGACATTACGCTGTCAATAATTTCAATTGAACAATTTCACATTGTATTGTTTATATTTTTTGCTATAATCACAAACTTTAAATATTATTCAGTTATTGGTTTTATTTTTTTGAAGTGTAAGGCATGAATATCATACCTGGATGTAAGTAATATAAGTTTATATAAGAAAAATAAGTAAATTTTGATTTCTTTGAATCCATAAAGTTACTTCATTAAAGGCTTTATTTTTGTATATTATTACGTAATTCAGTGAAGGATTTGGTTGCTGATCGAAAGCGATCGAGTGAAGTTATTTTTATAAATTATTGCCTACATTAGTCGTTTATGAGTCGCAATTAAAAAATCTTGCGGAAGGTTGCGGTTTTACTCAAAAAATATTGTTTTTTAAAAGACTTCAGTTCAAAAGTCAAATTATTATATACCTCTATTGGAGGTCCTCCAAAACCAATAATAATGACATTTTATATATGTCAGTTGACCCTAACCTAAAAATGATTTTACAAAGTTCGTGGAGCTGTATCCGAGGTACCCTATGCCAACCACAGTCCACAAGATTTTAATGCATAGCTCTAAAATTTTAGAAGAAGCAATACTTCCAATAGGTCAATTGGGGGAAGAAACTCAAGAAGCTAGAAATAAGGATATAAAGAGGTACCGTAAAAGTCATGCTAGAAAATTTTCAAGAATTTAAAATTTAGAAGATGTCTTTAATGTGCTTTTAGTATCTTCAGATCCATATATTTCGAGCTTAAGAAAGTTACAACAAAAAAAATTAAAAAGCCACGATGAAGATGTCCTTAAGCTTTTGCATGAACCTACAATTTATAAAAAATCTGTCAGTTCAGATGAAAATATTGAAGAAGAGATTACAGAGTGATTAAGCTCTGTATTCCTTTTATATTAAATGTTATAACTTAATTTTAATTATTTACTTTTTATTAAAATTTCACCTTCTGTTTCTGGAAATACATTCCAGTGTTTATTTTATTCTTCTTAATTAGGTCTTAAGCGCTTTATATACGTCATATCTGATTTGAAAAAGTCAAAGATATTTATAATTACAATACTATATACTTTTTAACTTTTTGAACGATTATTTATTTTTTAGTCTTAAAATTTAGTTGAGTAAATTGGTTTGTTAGTTACATCCGCCATATTTAAATTAGAATGACGTCACGTACAATTGGCGTCCTCGAAATGTGAACGATTTTTGGTTGTCATGGATTTTTTCATAAAATTAATTCGTTTATTCCTGGCTTCGGCCAGTGGTGTTACAAATAGAGGGGATAATACTAAGAATAAGAATATTTTTTAATAATATTTTAACAAACAGTAATATATACAATATTACAAATAAATTAACTTTAATTTGGTTTTGTACAACAATATTAACAAGTAGGTAATTAACAAATAAAAATAACATAGCAAATTTAACATATTGCTCAAGAAAATTGGTCTTTGAGTGAAATAGCTGCAGATTTAAATGTCTTAAGCTTGTAGCAAAGTGGTGGAAACTTGCCGAAGGTGTGGGTGGTAGGTTTTTAAAGACTGTAATTCCTGAACACGCTTTATTCTGTTAAGACAAATTGACCCTCAAATTGGTAACATTTCTTGATTCTTCGGTTATTAAATCTAAAAACTGTTTCACCACTTAATTTAAGTGAACATAAAATAATATATTAATTTAGTTACCTGTTTCACCAGATAACTTTTCGTTTAATAAAACGAACATTAATCCCGAGGATGATAACAAAATGTAAAGATCTAAAACGTTGCAAGCAACTGCTAAAGACAACAGGCAAATGGTGGTCGAGTATCACCAAAAAAACTATTAAATTTCGCGGGGAATTATTAAGGCGAAAAATTTGAATTAAGACGTGTTACCAACTTTACACAATGATAATATCGTATAATGAATAAAGTAGTACAAACATAACCAAATCGCTTCAAGCTCTTCAATAATTTTCAACAGCATTCCGTGAATTATTTCGTTTTGCTGGCTTAAAAAACTGTGCTGCTGCTCATAAGCTAATTTAATACTTAATTGCAGAGACATTAGCTGCCACAACACTTTGCAATCTTCTTGGCATGGACATTATTAGGTAACGCATGTCGTATGATTCAGCAAGCTTTTCCCAAGAATTTTCAACAGCATTCCGTAGATCATTTCGGTTTGCTGGCTTAAAAAACTGTGCTGCTGCTCATAAGCTATTTTAATACTTAATTACAGAGCCATTAGCTGCCACAACACTTTGCAATCTTCTTGGCATGGACATTATTAGGTAACGCATGTCGTATGACTCAACAAGCTCTTCCCAAGAATTTTCAATAGCATTCCGTAGATCATTTCGGTTTGCTAGCCCAAAGTCCCGTTAATATAATTTTTTAAATATAAAACCCCACACGTTTTCAATGGGGTTTAAGTCAGGACTTCTAGCTGGCCATGGCAAAACAGTTATGTGGTTGTTGTTTACCCACTCTGTAACGCGAGCTGTGTGAACTGGTGCATTGTCCTGTAATATAATATATATTAGAATCATTTTTCTAAACTATACAGTTTTCTAACATGTTGGAATATAACATTTTCTGGAAACACATGTCTAACTGAAGGAAACACATGTCTAACGGTCGTATAGCCGTTAATCTACCATCAATTTCCCAACATATTCCCGCACCATGAACGCTTATCAACTCCCAAACATTTATGGAAAAGCGTCCACTATTTGAGGTTCTTAATGTGTAGATATTCTCAATCTTGCGTCTCTTGGACAATATACACGCCACCTTCTATTATTGCAAGATTGGAACGTTTTTTCATCAGAAATTTTAACATTATTCCAAAATCCCTCTCCATAATTTAGATGGACTCTCCTGGACTTATTCTCGTCAGTTAAAAAAACCTTATGAGCAGCATCAAAGTTTTTTAAGCCAGCTGTTAAAGAGATCCTGTAAATTGTGTATCTTCTCGGACCTTAACTGCGCTATTAAAAGGATTTTGCCTAATATGTGCGACAAGAGCATTGACTTCATTTTCTTTGAAGATTTTACATACACCTTGCCTGATAATCTTTGTTGTTCTTGGCAACGTTTCTTGATATAAAATATGCAGCCTTTACTGATATTTAAATCTGCAGCCACTTCACTTAAAGACCAATTTTATTTTAATTTGGCTATTGTCCTGGACCTCTGAGCCTCAGTTAAGTGGGGTGGAATTTTTGATTTTGCAATTGAAAACTATTATCAAATTTGACAACTACCGACGACACTGATGCAAAGCCCATATTACACAATTAAATTTTGTCGTTCACATTTCGGGGACGCCAATTGTACGTATCGCAGAATACCTATTCTGCTTGGAAACCCCTTTCATTTGATACCCATATCAAGGGGTTGCAAAGAAAAAAATAATTCACCATCTTGAAGTGGCAGCCATTTTGAATAAAATATAATAAACAGTATACTAGATTTTTCTGTCACCAGAACAAAAAGTGTTCACAATTTTAGAACAATCGGTTGGGTGGAAGTAGGTTAAAATCGATTTCAAAGATTTGTTTACTAGTTCCAATCCAATCTTATAAGATTAATATTAAGATATTAATATTAAGATTAATATATTATTACTTATTTAAAAATATCTGCACCATAAACTGAAAATATGCCCAAATTAACACTAAAAATATAATCTTTAAATTTTTATTTTATCCCTAGATGTATCCCTACTAGGGTTTCCCTAGATCAAATTGCACTCACTGTGCGTCAATTTTCTAAATCTGTATTCCACTGTGCGACGAAGTGTAAGAAAATTGACAGCAGCTGTCAAAAATCATCTGACAATCAAAACATTGCACTTTTCAAACATGGATGAAAAAAATGGGGCTGTTTTTCACCCTATCATTAGCTGTATACAAAAAATGGCATTATACGAGACAAAATCTGTATGTATCATTATTTTCTTACATAATTTGAGGTTATGTTCTTATTTTTGTAGAAATATTACCTTGTGGGTTCAAATAACACCCAAACAAGGTTTAGAGTGATAAAAATCGACAGAATGGAGCCTAAAGATTTAATTTTATATGATGACAAGGTAGAATATACAGCAGAAGAAATAAAAGATTTAGTAAACATGATTGATTCTGGTAATCGGAACAAATCTATGAATAGTGGTCTATCTAAAGTAATTTCGGCATTTGGGATTGTTGGTATATATAATAACACTTATAAATCAACAAAAAATAACATTTTTGTTTGTTAAAAGGTTTCATAAAGTTTTTGGAAGGTTATTACATAGTTCTAATAACCAAAAGACGTAAAGTAGCTGTTGTTGGTCACCATACAATTTATAAAATCGAAGACACAAATATGATATACATTCCACATGAATCTGTAAGAGTGATTCATCCAGATGAACCCAGATATGTTAAAATGTTTCAAAGTATCGACTTGGCAAGTAACTTCTATTTCAGCTACAGCTACGATATTACACATACATTACAACATAATTTATCACACCCCAAACAATTTATACCCAATAACCAAGAAACAAGTGAATATATTCTCCCTGAAAATGTAAATCTCCTAAACACATCACTTGTAAATAACAATAAAAAAGAAAGTCATTATGGTATTCGTAATCACCCCAATAACAAGTTTGTCTGGAATTTACACCTATTAAAAGAGGTGTTGCAAGCTGAATTGCACCCTGATTGGATTTTGTATATTACACATGGTTTTATTGGGCAATCTAACATAAATGTTTTTGGTAGAAGTTTGTATATTACTTTGATTGCCAGAAGGTCCAGTAAATATGCTGGTACAAGGTTTTTAAAGAGAGGCGCTAATTTTCAAGGTAATGGTTGGATTATGATTGTGGAAATTTGTTATGGTATGCATTATTTTTGTGGAAGTTACAGAGCTTTAAGTTGTTTTATTTTATAGTATTTTTTATGAAAAATATGTTTGGATTTTTGAAATTTCAGTACTTTTTGTACCCTGAAAATTTCCTCAAAAGTTTTTTCTGATTTTTACATTTTGGCGCCCAACGTATCAGGTTTTTGAAAAACGTGTGTAACTTCTACAAATTTCATCAGATTTGAATGAAATATTCAAAGAATACAAACAAAATTTAATTAAGCTCTTTTTAACTACGTTATAATTATTTAATACAGGGGATGTCGCAAACGAGGTAGAAACTGAACAAATGGTTCACGATTCAGGCGTATCTACATTTTCTAAAAGTCATTTTACATCATTTGTACAGATGAGGGGGTCAATGCCAGGTAAAAAATGACTTATATAGTACTAAAATATTCTATAAACATTATTTAAGGACATTGGAAACAAGAAATGGGTAAAATGGTGGCCAAGCCAGCCATAACAATAGATTTTTATGATCCATATGCAGAAACAGCCGGTGCTCATTTTAACGAGTTGTTAAAAAGATATGGCGCTCCTATTTATATATTAAATTTGGTCAAACAAAGGGAAAGAAAAAAACAAGAGGGTATTCTAAGCGACGAATTAAGTTCTGCTGTAAAATATTTAAACCAGTTCTTACCTGTTGAACATCAAATCGTCTACAAAACTTTCGATATGGCGCGAAAAAATAAAGGCACAGCCAACGTCATGCGCCACCTTGCGGACATAGCGCGTAACGCTGTGATGAAAATCGGTATTTTTCACAACCAACCGAAATATTACAGCCAGAATTCCGCGACGGTGGTTGGTCAGTATGAAAACCAACATGGCAGCTTTCAGACAGGGATAATACGCACAAACTGCGTAGATTGTCTCGATAGAACAAATACTGCGCAGTTTGCCATTGGGAAATGCGTACTGGGATTCCAACTCTGCGCACTAGGTATGAAAACGTCAGATTTGACGTTTGAACTATATTTGACGTTTATAAGTCAAAAAGTGACACTTGGCTTAGTTAAACGTCAAATTTTCAAACTTTTGCCATCTTACAGGCATTTTGGACACTCCTAGTTTGGAATTTGATACTGATTGTGTAAGGATGTTGGAGAGTTTGTATGAAGATCATGGGGATACGTTGGCATTACAATATGGCGGTTCTCAGTTGGTCCATAGAATTAAAACATATAGAAAAACTGCACCTTGGACCTCTCAAGGGAATGATATCATGCAGACTTTAAGTAGATATTATAGTAATACTTTTTCTGATGCCGAAAAACAGAATACTATAAATTTATTTTTGGGTAAGTTGGGATTCTAAAATGTTTGATAAAATGTAATTTTTTTTATCTTAGGTCTATTTAAACCAGAAGAATTCCAACCACAGTTATGGGACTATACAAGTGATTATTATTTTCACCATAAGCCCATCATTGCAAGTGATAAGTCACTAACCCAGTGGTGGGATAATGGTAATATTAATTCTCAAGTTAATTTTATCAAAATAATAAATATATCGCTCATTCGAAACAACAATGACACAACTCAAAAATCACAGTTTTGAGAAAACGCATTTTAAATTTCTTATTACTGTTTTCTATTTACGTAAATACCTATAAAAGCTGGACTCAAATATTTTGTTGTTTAGGCATACTCTCTAAAAAACAGCAATAAAAAATGTTTAATGCGTTTTCTCAAAAACTGTTAGTTTTGAGTTGTGTCATTGGTGTTTCGAATGAGCGATATATAAATATATATGCTTTTGTGGAGTTGTATGTTTATTAAGGCTCTTGAATTACTATTATCTTTTTACTTAAATAAACATTATTAATAATAGTCGCAAAGAGCCTATTTTTGTTATTATGCCCTAAAATTTTTATTAAAATCAGATTATGTTTGCAGAAGTTTAGAGCTTTAAATTTGAACATGTCTTACCACATATGTAGGTGCTAACTTTTTAGTCTTTAAGTCCTGTAACTTATGCAAGACTTGTTAGATTTTACTGAATTCTTTTGGGTATACTATTTAAATTGTTCTTTCCAATGACATTAACAGAAGGCCTATTTTTGTTGATACCTCCGAAAATACCGTCTAAAACTATTATTTCATAATTGCATTTTTGGGTTAAATTTTGGTTAACTTTATAACTTATCTTTAGGTGTTTTACAATGTCTACCTTACGCTTACAATGACTTAACAAAAGCATGTTCAGAAATAATACAACTACACTCAAGAGATGTAGAAATGATTGATTCTTACATGGACTATTACAAACCTTATGATCTATGTTTACTAAGCGATGTATATGCGACGCAAATTAGCAATTCCATAAGGGATTTCATGCCGAATTTTACCACAAACTACAGTCCATTCTCGTTGAGGGTGCGACCTGTACGTAGAAGGGAAGATAATAAGAATAGCGCAATGAAAAATCCTTCGGTCACCGGACAGAGTTCTACAAGTTCGGCTGCTTCTAGTACTAGGTAATTTTTAGGGTATAAATTATGTTTTTTTTGTCATTTTTGTTTCTTTAGTTGCAGTTCTGACAATGAAGAGTCAGCGGATGATGATACCCACTTCAGTAGTTCACAGATTTCATCGAAAGAGTCCAGTCCTGACCCTTTATCTTTCAAAAATTTATTCCCCAACATGAAAGATGTGTATGGGACAGATTTAAGGGACCCAAAATACGCTGACATCTTAACATACAAAAAGTATACTCCCCTACATTTTAACAAAACAAAAATACCAAAATTATTATTTTTAGATATGTTTTAATAGGCAAAAAAGCCAATGGTACGGCAACAAATAGTTTTACCCCTATAACAATAGCACTGAAAACACAGAGTAATTTTAACCAAGATACCACTTATAATGTAAAACCTGTCACTGTAACTGATAAAGCCATTGAAAAATATAATAGTTACATAAACTTAGGACTCACTGGGGGTCTTACACCAAAGAAAAGTGATGTGGACATTTATAAGAATTATGCTAGCTTATACTAAGATATATGATTTTATATATTAATGTTAAGAATTATTGTATGAATAAACTGTTTGTATTTTTTAAGAGGCCTGTTTTGTTAGTATACCCTTTAAATGTTATCCAAATCAGTGTTTCAGAGACAAAAAGTTGTCACTAGGAGTTACCTTTTTAAAGCTCTGTAGATTCTACAAAATTTATTAAATTTTTATGAAATTTTCAGAATTTATTGTTTTAAATATGCTCTTTCCAACAACATTGCAAAAAAGTCGTATATTTGTTGCTACTTATACCTTTTTAATATAAAACTAAAACTGCTTTTTGCAGAGGAAATTTAATAGGTTATAAAATAAAAAAAATCTTGTCTAAATTAAGAAATGTGTATTATTGAACTTCAAATACATAAGATGTTATAACAAACAGGATAAATACCTGTTGAGTAGTTGAAGAGATAGAAATAAACCATCTACTTTAACTTCTTCTTTGGGCGGAGATTGTTTGTGTGTCCGCACTTGGTCTTCCTGCAATTGGTGGCACGTGGGTGCAATCTAGCGTAGCATTTACGGCAAATCATCTTGTCACAGTTATACTTTTGAGCCAAGATACGAAGGGAAGGCTCAATGATACCTCCTCTCAAACGGAGCACCAAATGGAGGGTAGACTCCTTCTGGATGTTGTAGTCTGAGAGTGTTCTGCCATCTTCCAATTGTTTACCAGCAAAGATCAGACGTTGCTGATCTGGGGGAATACCTTCCTTATCTTGGATTTTAGCCTTAACATTTTCGATTGTGTCTGATGGCTCGACCTCGAGGGTGATGGTCTTGCCGGTGAGAGTTTTCACGAAAATTTGCATTGTGGCGCTCTAAAACACAAAAGAAAACTCAAATATCAAAAAAATATGCCTTAACCTAAAAATGGCATTTACTTTAATTTTAATATTTAATATTATTTAAAAACATTAATAAGATCCTCAAATAACTTTACCAATATTAAAAAACGTTAAATATTACTTCTAAACACCAAATATCAATCAATTAATTTTTGACATAACCTCAAAATGACATTCGTGCATATTTTGCCCAATATATCGAACTAATCCCGATTTTTATACGCCTAATTCAAGTTGGGCGTAAGATTTAATAAAATAAAGCATTACCGTGTATGCAATAGATATTTTTTACGTAAAAACAACTAAAAACTCTGACTTACATATGCCAAAACGTGGTCGCCACAAATTTCCTTGGATGAGAAAGACAAATGAAATCTGACTTATCGACAACATGGCTTCCTTCGCCGTATATCAAATGGCGCAAAATTTAAATGCCATAGATTTAAATGAATTTTCTGAGGATTTTTTTCAAGTATTTTATGGTAAATATTCCATAAATTACATTACTCTAATATTTACAATTTTATTTTTTATAAGTATGGCATTTTAATGTTTTAGTTAAAAGTTAAGTTAAAAATAAAATATAAATATTGTCGGAATTACTGTTTTAGGAATATTTATAGGGGTAGGTAGTGAAAAATTCCATTTATTTATAGTTATTATTACATTTTTAATTATTTTTCTAATTAATTCTCTTTAATTACAAGATGCCATTTATTACCGGATTTAACAGTTCTTCTAAGTAAATTAAAGGAATTTGAATAAATAAAACGATTTAAACGCTGACCAGATGCTGTTTAGAATTTATTGGGGATAACTTTTAAAATAATGGATTTTACCATTGACTAAAGAACGATTTTACAATGCGCATTGAAGGTCATTACACTGACTTATTAACATTAAAATAAATATTTGAAGCATACCTACACATCTTTCACAAAAAAGTTTTGCAATTTTTTTAATAACTCATGACAAATCTCTTTTTTACATGCAGGGAGTTTGTAGGCAAACATTATACCCATAAAAACAGTTTTTGTTTGTTTAAATGGTTATCTATGGTTTCAATATTAATAATTTATTTAAATAAATGCACATTTTTAAAAGATAATAGGTACAAACAAATCACATAAAACCCTTATTTAATATAGGTATTATATTTTAATAAAACTACTAGGGTATACCAACAAAAACACGCTCTATTATACTTAAAAAAAAACCGTCTCCAAAAACAACCTAAACCTAAACGAAAAGTTACATAAAAAACATTCAAACGGCGCGCCAGAAAGTATTGATATTCGTCCGCAATGTTTGGTGGCGCCGCGAGCGGTGAAAACCCGTAACGCGGGCTCAGTTCGAACGCGAATGCATCGGCTAGAATTAGGTCCGCAAGAGCTAGTATTAACGTCACTGGCCCTTTAACAAAACGCTATAAACGATTTATTTTTAAATAAAATCAGCAAAACCGAGATTTTTATCAGTTGGCAAAACGATTTTTGCGTCGATTTCGGTGTGTTGTGGCTGCAGTGAAGTTTGATGTTCATTTGTTTATTGGATTACTAGATTATTGTGATTTTTATGTTTTTAAAGGTGAGTTTCTGTATTTTATGACTTAAACTAAGGTTAATATGTGTTCTAAATACTATAAATATGTATTTTGTAATAGAAAAAAAATACATTTCTAGGTAATTTTAGAGAAAAAAATCAGAAATTCTACCTGTCATTTCATACTATTCATAACGCCTGTATTATACTGAATAACAATAGTCGATATTTCAATAGAAATTGTAACAACGGTCCAAATTTAACATAGTTAACACTTGTACAACATCGAAAATTCTACGAATGAACCTTTAAAGTTAAAACAATTGACCACACTTGACCCCAAAATTTAAAAAATTCCAATTACAGTAAAATATTGTTTTTCATACATTAAAATTAAACCCGTAGAAACCTACTTTATATCTTAAAATATTGCAATTGCAATACATAAAACATAATACATAATATGTTTGGGGTGCTATAGCTTAAAACTAAATCATTTTTTCATTATATTTTTTTGTAGGTACATACCTACCCTAGGCACAGCTTTATAAATTAGGCGATCAGTTTACAATTGGATTAATTTAAAAATGTAGGTTTATTTGGGGCGCTAACTAAATTATATTTTTTCGGTTTTTTTCTTGATTTTTGTATTATTCTTTTTTTGTATTGTAAAGGGTTTTTTTTAACATTTCTTTAAGATAGGTACTAAAGAATTCTAAAGTCTCTGGCTTAATTTTAATTAAAAATAATATTTTATCGTGATATGTCATTTTTGTTCGTTGATTATTTTGATAGAAACGTTACCAAATCAAACGTTAGGTAGGTAATAGCGTCAGGGCCATATTACCCATTAGGCAGGCAAGGCAATTGCCTTAGGCGCCACGTAGAAATAGGCGCCTTGTCCCCAAGCAACTTAAAAAAAAATAAAAATTGTTACAAAAATGTTTATTTTTTCCGAAAATAAAACAAATAAACAATTTACAATTGTAATAACAGAATATTATTTACTGTTTTTATATTTTATAAAAATTTAGCTTCCTTTGTAATAACGAGGTGTAAAGCCGACAAAAAAGCGTGCCGCAAATTCACTTCTGTTTTTATGACAAATACATAAATGTATTTCAGATAAAATTAATCAGGTGTTATATCACCATGCTTGATTACGAGGGCACTGCGTTTTGAAGTAGAATAAGATATTTTATTATTAACTGTATAATTAACAAATAATAATAAATCTTAACGTTAAACTGCAAACAAAAACTTAAAAGATAATTTAATTTGTAAACTTTACCCTGTATAAACATATCTTTAGCACTCTTTAAACTATTTCAAAACCCCCGTATGCTCCAAGCACACGAATTCCTCTTGCATCGGGTACCCGCTGTGATTTGCTGCTCACCCCAGCGGGTACACGATACTAGAGGAAACTGCTGCCGGAAGGACTTGGGTGTTTTCGCGTTTATTCAAGAGTGGCACTTCTATGTGTTGTGTGTTTGGTGATAGCAGTCTGTGTTCGATAGTTAAGGTTGATTTAGCCTGGCTTTTAAATTAAATTACGTTACGTTAGATTACGTTACACAAAATGCTGGCTAAATCCACATTTAGATAGTGTTAATTTTTCTGTTTGTTTTAAGGTATTTCTGAAATTTTAATATTAAACTAATTACAATAAACCAGCAGTACATCTAACATACAAATACAGAAAATTAAAGTTGATATAATTTTTTTTAAATACTAACTAATGACATCTTGCAGAAAAACGCACTTATAAGTCCTAACACTTTTTATTTACATTATATTTGTTATGTTTGTATGTTATTTATGTTTTTTATGTATTTTTTTAATGATAAAAAGTATTCTAATTCATAGGGAATAATTAGGTTATAATGCTCGGGTGCCCTTAAGCTAACAGTTTGGGGTGGCTCTAATAAGCTTTTTTAAAATTTGCCCCGGGCCCCGTAAGTATAGTATCTAGTTAGAGGAGCCAAATTTTTAGGTGCCTAAGGCGCTCAATTGCCTTAAGCCGGCTCTGAATAGCGTTAATTATGCACTCGTACCTACAAACACTAATAATTAGTAATTACAACAAATTTACTCACATTGGCTGTGTTACAATTGATTTATTTAACTGCATTTGCTTACATACTTTACTTAATTTTGGGTGATTTTAAAAACAGTTTGTGGAGTTATTAATAAGATATTAATTGAGTGCCGATGGTTTGGTTTATTTTATTTTGACGCATTTTAGAGATTTCTAAATTTAGGTGGAACCTATCACGCCCTTGGCACAAATCGAGAATTTTCTGTTTATGTTTTTATTACTGAAATAAATTGCTGATTTTCGCAATTTAAATCAGGTTATAAATAGGTACCTACTTAAATATTTGTTTTTTTGTTTTGGGAAAATTACTATAGGTACTTGAGTACTTAAATTTAATTAAAAACTAAGGGAAAAATACTTACTGTTCTTTTAGTAATGCTTTAGAGGGTTTTTTTATAATTTTAATTACCTATTTTAATAAAAATATAATATAAAAATTTCGTGCGAAAATAAATAAAAAAAACATTTTCTGATTTTTGATTGATTTTTAATAAATGGGAATGGAAAATAAGAAAGAATTGTATATAAAAATAAATAAAAAGGTTTTTTTCTGTAGCTTTAAATAAGGTTATATGGAATTTATTATTAAATTTAAAAATACAGATTTTTAATAATTTTTCAAAACATTTTACAAACATACATTTTAAATATATTTTATAATTGTATGATATTTTATTTGCATATTTTTAGAAAATGACTAAATTTAAGTTGTCAAAAAATACGGCAACTTTTTTTTAAAAATATCTTCAACATGTTACCTAATAACATCAAAGTAGTAAATAACCCAAAAAACAAATTTACTTTTAAGTTTAAACAAATGTTAAAAGACTGGATTACCAAAAACTGTACCAATAATTCATTGTTAACTTAATAGTATTAAATGTTGGAATTATAAACTGTTTTCGCAATGATAATGGAAATATTATATATTATTTTAGTTTTAGTTTAGTTTTAAGATCCTAGTTTTTAAGTTATGTACCGGACCTATGTACAGGTAATTTTATTACCTCCAATAGGCAGAAATTATTTTCTGTACACGTGTATCTGGATGTTAAATAAATAAATAAATTATTTATAAATTTATTATTATTATTTATTAATTATAATTAGGTAAAAATAGTATTTTGTGCAACGAGTGGGGTTTTATACATTTGCCTTACAAAACTAAGCATTTTTGAAAGTTATTTCATTGAACAAAAAATATATCTAAATTAAAAAAATATTTCGTCATAAAACATGCTGTTTTAAATGTCTCCCGTAAAAAAATCTAAAACCCTTATTTTTGATTCTGCCACTAAGACTGGTCACGTGGTGGCAACCCTATCGCCAGGGCCTCCTTAAAATTTTAACCATTTTACTTTAAATATTTCATTAAAATATGTATCTACCAATTATATTTCAATTATTTAGATATTTAGTGGTTAATTACTGAAATTATAATTAAATTTCCAATTATAATAATTATTAAAATTATATTGATTGATATTATTAAAATGATTTATTGATTAATACTCGTATAAATGAAAATACTAAACTGCGCGCTTTATAATTGGTGAACTACGTCACGCAGCCTCGCGTCCGAAGATTCCGTTGCTATTCAAAATCCATTCATTAAATCTTTTTATTTTAATACAAAATACTTACAGTGTATATATTGTAACACAGGAACGTAAAAAAAGGATTCGCACGCTACAACATTGCGAGTTGTTGATAATTT